AACTCATTCACACTATCCGAGCAGTTTTGTAGGCCATAAAGTAATCTACTTTGTTTTTGACTCTGTAAGATTACATTTATTAGATCTAAATTAGGATTGCCTCAATTACCTCTAATATTTTCCCACTGATGTCAGCCAATTTGCCTTAAAGGAATGCAGACTGGTGTGTTGCTGCTGTTCTTTTTCTTCCATCTATGTTTAAAGTAATTTTACTGGAATGCTATCAATCACAGATCCTGGCACAGCTTATAAATTCCTGATATTTAAATAAGCACCACCGTTAACTAATATAAAGCATCAAATTCACTGATTGTGTATTTCCAGCACTTAAAAATTATATATGCTGCAGTAGGCCTACTTTTCAGTACTGATTTTTTAAAGGCAACTTTTAGTTAATAAATGAAAGAAATCAGCATAAACATTATTTTCATCAATGAAAATGCTCTTGTTGCGACTCATGGCAGTAGGTTTATGATGTGACCTCTTTTCAGTGATGATAATTTTAACTGCTCAACATTTAGTTTAAAAAAACGTATAATTATGCTTGTTGTCTATATTGTGTGTTTTGTTTTAGTTCTGTTATCTGAATTGTGTATCTTCACCACAAGGGGAGCTGTGCTATCTGTGTCAGCATGCAAAATGTGTGCGCTGTTTCTATTTTGAGACCTACAAGCTATTGCTAGTGCTAATGAGATCAGTGTAAACAACAGGCCAATCAACAACAGCCTTCTCACAGCCAATGGGAGGGGCTCTGTTTGCCTGCAGCCAATCAGAGTACAGGAGCTGTCATGACTGTATTTACACCCACAACTAATCATAGACAGAATAGGTGTGATGTGAGAGAGATATGGTACTGATTTGGTTTTTATTCTTTCGCATACTCTGTTTTCTCATACTTATTCACAATGCCTTTCACACCAAATTGTACATTTTAATTAATTGTACGAAGCTGTTTTTAAAATAATTAAAATTGTTTAATAAATAATAATTATACATTTTATTTAAATTAGATTATAATAGTGATTCATACATTTTGCAAGTTGATAAATATGTAGAATTTTTTTTTAAAGATTTATTTTTTTGTTAAAGACCCATATATATCTCATGTTCTGTATCAGTTAGCCTAATGTTTAATATCTACGTTGAACTCTGATCAAACACATATTTTTTTCTCATTTTTATATTCCTATTAGGCCCCTGTAGTGACAGAGAGATAGAGAAAACAATCATGTTTTCCCAGCAAGCCTTTGTCTCGCCACAGTGACATCACAGTCGATAGCGCGAGGCAGCCTGTTTAGCAGCTGACGTCAGGACACAGCGCGCGCGGCCGGGCCTCATGCAGCTCAGATTTGCTGAGAACAACTGCACCTGTTTCATTCCAACATGATAATCTGATAATCCTCACTAGTACTCTCAAATCAACACTACATCACTACAAATTCACCATAGGCTTCCCATGGAAAATTACAAATTATTTGACAGATATTAGCTATTATTATTATTATTTGGGTGCGTATAGGCTATAGTAGCCTATAATATAGTATAGTATAGCCTATAGTATAGTAGTAGGCAGGCCTATATTATAGTGCTATAAAATTGGCATTTATAAGAAACATGGGCCTAAATGTTGTACATATGGATTTTCAACATTGGAGTAAAGGTCCAGTCCAAGCGGCAGATGAGATCACATGTGAAACCTGATCGCTCTGATTCTGTAATACGAAAGTTTTTGCTTCATCCCCATTTTTTTTAAAGGTCCCGGGAGGCTTTAGCTCTAATCCCCTCTGCGCATTGGATTAATGCTGTAGTGTCTGGATTCACAAGTGCCCCCTATAGCCTCTTTTTCTATTAAACGTGTTAGAGGGACTTGATTAGCATTACAATTACACAGGTGAACCGATATTAGCTTTTCAAATAATTTGCTATCACAAATAAAATAAAATAATTATTCGTTCAACATAATTTATCTAAAGATAGATTTAATGCTTACTTTCTATTTTCTTCTTGTTTTCGAGTTGGTATTAATATATGTTGAGTTGGACTTGTGGTTTCAACCAGATATTAATTGGCACTAAAAACCTACCCAAAAAGCAGTATTTATTTTTTTCATTTATAGGTAAAATCTTCGTGTCGTCTGCTGTTGTAGCTAAACCACAGAAGACTTTTCGCTTATTTATTTTTAGTCATACTTTTGCTTTATAGTCCGGTTGTGCTATAATCATACTTGTTTTCATTCATTTCAAACTGTAACATTTGGGAGGTGAAATGGCGAATGTTCTAGCTGGTACAAAAGCAGGCAGAGTGGCTTGGGTTTCTACGAGCGGTCAGGGAGAGCAGTGAAGGAGAGCTCTGGGAATTGAAACCCAAATCCACTTGTAATCTTGCAACAGTATCGAGCATAATTGGCCGAGGAGAGCAGATTAAGATTGATGAGACGTTAAAGTGGCTCTTTGGAGTTCAGGGGATCGATAAATATCCCAATTTCAAGAGCCTCTCCTCACATCCAGGACAGACCCGTGGGCTGCTACAACTAGCCTAATAAAAGACAGAGGACTGGTCAAAGAGAAAAATATAAAGAGCGAGAGCGCGCGCGCGCGCACATACACACACACACACACACACACATTTGGGATTAGATTAGTCATCTGACCGGAGGTCACAACATCTGTAAATATTTTAATAATGTTTTAAGGTCAATTTTACAGGTTTCATATAATCAAAATTGAATCACAACAGCTGATTTGATTAGGAACCGCGTAAATGCGTATCACTCACATAGGATTTGATTTGCGCAAAATAACAAAGGAAAGTGACTTTGAAATGATTGCTGTTGAGTCTCATAAGAACGCTCACCTATTAAAATATTCGCATTATTTCTTGATATAATGCCATATGACCAATGCCTCAATTTGGAAGTCTAATCGTGTAAATTGCTGAAACGATTCTCTTCAACAATTCATAGGATATTCTCCCCTTTTTTCCTGTTTCATTTTCATGCGTAGGCTATTTTGTGTAAAACTCTGCACCATATTTATCTTGTAATTAGGCTATTACTAAAACAATTATTGTTGGTGTATATCGAGATTATTATGAATAGCCTACATAGGCCCTACAATTTTTTTTCGCACGACATGCATCGATAGACCTCGTCAAAGTCTACAAAACCTTATTCGAAAAATTGAAAATTAAAAAATTATTGCAAACTCATTCTGAAGAGATGACACACATTGTTTAGAAGAATACTTGTATGGTTGTGCAGCCATAACTACATCAGTTACTGACTGCGTATCGCTTGTTGATGACGGACTGGCGATACATATCCTGGGTAATTTCCCCTGTGAAAAATAAAATATTTCTCCTTGCTATAGGCCCTGTTGTCTTGAGCACCCCGGCCCAGCTTATTGCCCCGGTCACTGAAGCCCGTGGGACTCTCTCTATCACAACCACGGAAATCTATTTTGAAGTGGACGAAGATGACCCAGCCTTCAGACGCATTGATGGCAAAGTAGGTTGAATTTCTATTGCGCATTTGTAACTGTGCACAAATACCAAGCAGAATTGCACTCCAAATGACATGGAACAAAATCAAATACTATAAAGTGTTTAATAATTGTACCATTTTATAAAAACCGTCAATTCAAAAACGTTAAAAATATAGGCATGTCTTTCTGAATCGAGGCCCATGCCTTGAATGTCCTTTTTTTGTGTGTGTTTTTTTTTCCCGTGCCTGGTAAAATGTCATCTAAAGTGTTCATGTACAACAGCCTAAAATTAACCAAAACGTATGCTTTTTAAACTAATAATTGCGCGAATCGGCAATCTTTAGTTTTGTCATGAATAACACGGAATAACATTGAGTGAAGGAAATATAATCTAACTAATTTTAGGTTGAAAAATAAAAACAATTTGAACGTATCTAAATGAAGGGGTGCAATTCAGATGTGCAGAACTGTCATGAGAGAATTATATCGTTAAGCCACACATTTCTGACCTGTCTGTGCAATCCATATTTCAGTTCACCTGTGTCCTTCTGTCAATAGCCACTGTTCACAGGAAGAAATATTCTTATTTTCCTGTTTTGTGTATTCCGATTTTTTTTATTTAGTAAAAATCTGACTACATCGTGTAGCCTAATTTCCACGCCGAAGAGGCTTAACAATCCCCCCCCCCCCCCCCCCCCCCCATCGTGCCTATATTACACTGCAATATTTATGTAGCATGAATCATTTTTGGACACAAATATTAATTTGCTTTTATTAAATCTTTAAATAAACTCAGAGACAGATATAAAAAAAAATCAAATCACAAAATGTTATATTCCAGTGTATTTCAAGTGCATTATTTTCAGGTATATTTTTTTTCATATATATATTCTCAATTTCAGTCTTTTATCATGTAAGCAAGGTACAAACAAAAATGGTCGAATATACTTTAAATAAGAATTCAAGTATGCGAATGGAATGTTTAAGAAATAGTACCATCAAAATGTAAACTTTAGAAATTTGCCATTGACAATAGATTAAATTGTGGATGCATGTTTTTCTTCTTTCTCTCTTCAGAAATAATCCAGGCGAATGTCAAAACATGTGAAATTATACTTCTATTTACGTGTCACAGAACAACAATCACAACTGCAGACCACCGGATTCACAATCTACAAATGTGTCTATTTACAGTATAAAATGTACAGGTTCTCTGTCACGTACAGCTTTGTTTCGAAAGCTTTTAGGTAAAATGTGTTGTTGGGCAGGGTTCGTAAAAAGAAAAGAAAGAAACAGTAATACTGACAGGTAACTATATTCATTTTGATTGTTGATACAATTTGCTCCCTCCTTATGACACATTCGTGTCATGTGAAGTATTTTTAAACGGAGCTCTCTAAAATATTTTTTTTTTTACAACAAAAACAACAGTGACCATTTTGTGGAAGAGTTCCTGATTAGCGTCTAGGCCTCAGAACTTTGATCAGTCAGGCCTTCTATTCATAAACATGCCGTTTATTTTTATTTTTTTTACCTCAGAGTTTCTCCAGGCTTTTAGGGTTGGTTAGAATTTCTCTAGCCAGTCGCCAAGTCTGTTTGGCAGCGTTTTCAAGGCCCGAATGTGGCTTCCCTTGGAAAAGGTCTAGGTTTGGCAGAAAATAATGGGGGCATCTCCTGCACTGCAAGCACGAAATGAGCTGCAATAAAATCCCGTTCAGTCGATCCCCGAGGCAGTTCTCGTCCCAGTCCGACTCGCGCGGGTGTTTCTCGCACTCGTAAGACACAAGAGTTTTCATGTGGTAGTTGTTGAGAGGCTGCCCGGGTAGCTCAAGGTGCCGGTCGCGCAGCGTCTTGAGCAGCGACAGGCATTTCTTCCTGCACCCTCCCAGGAGCAGTCGGTTCTCCGCTTCGGCGAACTGCAACACCCAGGCATCACTCTCCGCCGAGCTCTGCTTCCCGTTCAACGAGTAACACTCCTTCGATAAGAGATTGAACCCCTCGGCTTTGACTTCTGCCACCCTGTTCGGGCCAGGCCACGGGATGTGCGGCAGCGGCCAGTGGGCAGCGCTTCGCGGCCAGATGCCGGTGCACTTGAACGCGGGGGTGATCTGAACCACATATCTGTCTCTGATGCGTAATTTCACCTCGCTGGTGTCCGCGACCATTTTAACCACGTCCCTATAGCTGCACTTATCCACCGCCTGCGCCACGAGCGTCTGGAACCTGGAGCGGATCTTGCGCGCGGACAGGTATCCCGAAGCCGTGATGAACTCGACCCAGAGGGACATGCTTCTCTTCCGCCCGTCGCTTAGCTTGAGCACGGCGCAGCCCGGCAGAGAGCCGTCGTCCACGAAGTTGAAGACCCCCATCTGGTTCAGATAGAGGACCACCTCGAATTCAGTTGGGGAGATGACCTCGAGCCCCTCGAAACGGTTATCCATTTCGTTTAAGGAGCTGATAAAGCGGGGCTCCTGGACCTCCACCTCCTTCAGGACATCCGAGACCACCTTGCACACCTCCCGGATGGTCTTGGAGATGGCCGCTTTCCGAGACTGGCATTTCTCGTTGTAGTATTTATTGAGATGATACACCAGCTTGGCCTGGGCGGCGATCATATTTGGACAGAGATCCGGGTTGTACACCGGAGTCTCGCAGTAACCCGAGGGATCCAACGCGGCTGTTTGTACAGGAGCCAATTTTAGAGAAGAAGTAGACTATTTAGAGGGAAAAAAAGGGATTTTGAAATAAATAAAAAATACTTGTTTTTTATTTGTGCGTGGAGCACATGCAAAGTCTGCGAGTTAAATCATCAGCTTCTGTTTTCAATTGCGACCAAAAAAAAAGTCAAACCCCTTGGTCTAATTCAGCAATTAAAAGTCCATACGCACGGATCAGTAGTTCAGCTAACCTCTTGAATCCACTTGCGGTGTCTTTTCTCTGTTTGTAATAGAGGTTGGAAAGTGCAGGGTGCTCTTAAGTGTGTGTCCAAGCGTTGTAGGTTTGTTTAAGACTCCGAACTCACTCCTGTGAAATTATAAAGGGAGGGTTTGAGAGGAGCTCGTCCAATCACGGCCCGAGTCGTCACTGCCTTCAGTTTATTGACGACAAATTAATCCTCCGCTTTTATACACAACCACATCGTCTGGTGGAAACACACCTACACGTTGGAGGGAGAAGATACAGGTTTATTCGTGATATATACTGGATTTTCCTGCTCTTCTTGTTAGATACAGACTACGTCTATTAGTCTGTTATTTTTTATTTTTCTATCAGAAATCCTAATTTCATATTTCTGTTAATAGAATATTTAGGCTGTATCACTTACTTGGTAATTTGAAGTTTCCATTTTCATTATCTCGATTAGGCTATAATTTGTCGAAAATATAGATTTGTTAGTTTGTTTTTTAATTTTCACTGATGCGTGTAGTTTGACAAAGTTTTTCGTTGATATGTTAATTCGATTTTTCTTTTGGTGTTGCAGGATTGTTTCACATGATGATATTTTCAGTGTTTAAATGACTACATTTATATTGCTACAATGCGTTATCTTTCTCTCTTTATAGTGCATGTTATTTAAAATTCGTTTTGAATAATATATTAATAGAAATATTATTTTTAATATGTTGCTGCGTACATGATATATGGTTAACGATTATGCCGTAATTTACGCGTCTCGGTACCAAACGCCGGAATCTTTTGTTTTATTTTAAACACGTCGAACATTAATCCGTATTATTTATTTTCCTATAGCACAGCAAATAGAGCATTAGATGCATTTATAGTCGTGGTGTCGCCTTACTTGCTTAGTGTAAAATATAAAAACGATTAGGTTTAGTTTTTTTGAAGTTCATGACATGAAGATGAAGGCCTTTATAAGGGCTTAAGTAACATTTCGTTAATGTGTTCTCCTTAACATAGCAAATTTAAAAGTCTCGCATTTGTGTATAATTAGTTATTTTAATTGCAATTGATTATAAAAAAATATTGTTGAACATTTTTGCTTCCGCAGTGGTGTAGCAAATGTAATAGGAAAAACGTATTTTGATCTTTTTAATTCGTCTGTCATGAAAAGTTCTTGAATGATTTTAATTAAAACTAGTTCTTTATTTCTTCCAGGGACAGACAAATAAAAGCCTGATCTGAACGTCTTTTTATTATTGTTTTAAGGCTATAGTGTCGTATACTTTTGTTCTGTTCTAGGTCAGTCAAATCAGTCACGGTTCGTTTTAATTTAATCTTTTTGGATCGTTATAGGCTATTAAAACATCAAACTTTTACATAACGTGCACGTATTTTCATTTTAACCTTTTTTTCCCATTTTTTTTTTTTGCCTTTGAACGTACAATAATTGAATTGTACAAACGTTAGGAAATATTTTAACGATATGAGAAACTTTTTTTTGTGTGACTTTTCTAGATATCGTGATTGCGTGTGATTTAAGTTGTGTAGCCGAATTTTTCTCGCGATATTAGGCTATATCTGAAATCTGATGGAGAACAACGAGAACAAGGCAAGATTCATCGTGCCCTTTCCAAACCCAATCATGATGCATCACTGATTATGAGAAAAAAGGCTTCTCTTTTTCTTTTTTTAGAAATTAAGAGACACGTTTGAACGTTTATTTGAATAAATGTGATACATGTTGTAGATATATGTCCTATATGCAAGTCTGTTTCAGTACACAGAGCAGATTGTTACAGGTCACTGTACTGAGGCATCAGGGTCGTTGGCTCCAGCCCTCACTGTAGTCTGCTTGGCACCTTATGTCTGGAGGATTTTGCCAACCATAATTAATAGAGCTCTGCAGTTTGCAGGCAGCGATCACACATATCAGAGTTCTCCTTTGCCTCTGTCAGGAACTGAAAGCAAAGTGAATGCTGTTTAGGCCTTTGGCAGTTATATGGCACTTTATTAAAATCAAACATTTTATTTATTTATTTATTAAATTTTTAAGAAGAATGTAGCCTATCCTTGTGCCCAGAAGACTTTATCTGATTAATCAATTAATCTGATATTTTAATTTCATTCTGGACTACAGTACATGTATTTGGTGACATTTTAACAAATGGGAGGATTGCAAAATACTTTTTTTTCTGACACCTTGTTACTCTCAAAAATGGCTGGTGCTCTCTGTTTATCCCTGCTTTCCACCTCAGCCCCTCTCTCTCTCTCTCTCTCTCTCTCTCCTCTCTCTCTCTCTCTCTCTCTCTCTCTCTCTCTCTCTCTCTCTCTCTCTCTCTCTCTCTCTCTCTCTCTCTCTCTCTCTCTCTCTCTCTCTCTCTCTCTCTCTCTCTCTCTCTCTCTGCACACACATTACATGGCAGGCACCCAACCATATCGGATCAGACGGTCTCCCTCCCTTCACTGGTCTATGCTCTGATGTGCTCAGCACTGCTTTTGTATGTCTGAATCAGTTGCTTGTCTATTGTTTGTTTGTGAGTTACAGTAAACAGTAGTACAGTGTTATAGTATCAGACATAATTTCATCTCGGATTAGCAATGTTAATCTGTTAGCACCGTTTAGTCCTCGACTCTCACATTCCATATTGAAAATTAGCCTATTTCAAACACTTAAACACATAGAGCATATACTTTATGAAACAGAACTCAAATTGTTGTTTATCAGTATTTTAATTGCAGCGTTTAATGATACTGCAATACATAAATATTCAAGATCAAGTTCAGGAAGTGTTAGATTTTATAAACACACTTAAAATTAAATGAACGAGAGCTGTTCAGTTCGTTTGGAAACGTTTATGCTGCATCTTAAATAATTTAAATACAAAACCATTCAATACTGTATACTTGACTTAGGCGCTCTGGTAAGTGTGACCTGAAGTCACTTCAAAACCCCCTTGACCTCAGACCCCCTCTCCTCTCACGCACTCACCGCGTCTCCGCAACATTGCAGTCTGTGTCTTTGTGACCATAACGCACTATCCACAGGCTTCGCTGTGATATATGAGGGTGTGACAACAGTACGGGTGCTATTTCTGACCCAGCGAATAGGATGCTGGATTGTGTAAATCAATACAATGACTCTGGCTTCCGCCCCTTTTTGGACGAGCATATGACCCAGGAAACGTTTAGCTCGTTGAAGGCCTCTTTGTTCTGGAGTTTCCTCGCCAATGACTTCTTCATTTTTCTTTCTCCCTCCCATCTTGTACTGAAGAGCGATTCTCCATGTCAGAATGGCCCTACATTACCATGTTTAACTGAATAGTGTTGTTTTTAAACAAATTGATGATTTAGGTTAAGGTCTTGCAGGTTTTTAGTCACCATTAAATGTTCAAAACTGCAGTCGGCTAGAACGTAAATTGTGTAGTTTATAGAATAAATGGGTATTGTAATGGATTATATCAGTATTATGTTTTTAAAGGTACATTAAAATAGATTGTATAGTGTCAGTATATTTCTTTGATTATGTAAGTACTTTAACCTTTGATTAACTGATTGAAATCACTTGGATAAATATTTTTTTTATTATTATTTTATTATTATAAATGTAATACTTTATATATATATATATATATATATATATATATATATATTTCAAATTGTATTATTTTTTGTTTATTGGTTTTAATTTAATTTTAATATGACATTTAACATTTGTTGTCCTGTTTCTTTGATTGCTTCTCTTGATGTATAAGAAAAAAAAGACATTGCAGACAGTGCTGCCGTCTTTGCATCATGCAGTGCATTTAATTATAATCCTGCATTAATAATCCAGCATACTAATTTAAAAGAACGACATCAGGGGACAACATTAGATAGCGCTTCTTATGTGGCTAGAACATTGTATGCCAATATTAATAGTACCAGGAGAGTTATTCACAGATTTGAATATATCAAGAGCTTAAGAGAGTCTTAATTGAAGTTAATAGTCACTTCTTTACACTAATATTAATAATCCCATTATTCAGTGACAAAAGGAGGTCAGCTCAGCTTTATTTCATCATCATTCATGGACAGTTTTTTACACTGATCCCATCATCATTTTGCGACAGCGAATATCAAAACTGGATCTGAGCCAAAAGGCGTCGCTAGGTCAAAGCACAGATTATCGAGTGCACTTAATGGAGTGGAGAAGTCAAATATAAATCATATTAAAGGCCCTGCCATTTAAGACAAGCAATATTAGCGTGGAGCTTGGCGCTGGTGGGGATTGCATTATATAAGATGGACACTTATTATGACATATCCCTTTCAGCTTCCTGCAAATGGATATCAAAATTGTCATTGAGTTTTCTTCCGAAGCGAATTCAGTTATTCCAGGCAATATGGCCACACTGCAGGGCTCCCAGTTAATTTTCTCTTGCCTATCGGCTGTCAGCCCCCTACCTCTCACGCTTTGAATGCTCTCCCTCCATTTGTTTTATTTTTCATGCTGTATTAGAAGCCTCCTCCTTGGGTTTGGGAGAAGAGGACAAAATCCACTCCGTAAAATGTAAAAATTTTTTGGTATAGCGGACTAGATAGGCTAAACGTAAACAGTAACCCCCAAATGTAAGGGAGAGAGAGAGGAACATTGGAAAATTAATCAGTTTTTTTAGCCTTGCCATCACCCTTCCTTACACCCCCCCAACAGCAATATGCGTTGTTGCATGTCAGCTTCTCTGATTAATGGCGTGAATTTATTTGCATAGATTTAGCACTGATTTCATTAGTTTATTCAAAAAAGGACCTTTTGATTTAAATATCCTTTAATCTGAAATCTTACACTGTTGAAGATTTTTTGAGGAGTGTTCACTTATAAGAAAGTGATTACAGAATCACATATTCCGCATACAGTATGTAGCCTATGGTGAATTATAGAGATTTCACCCCAATTTTTTTTTTAATTACGTATGTCAATTACTCCCATGTCATTCCAAACCTGTATGAATTTATGTGGAAAACAAAAGAAGATATTTTGAAAAAAATAAATAATTGTTTTCCCTCAAAGTCGTTTGGGGTCCCATGTTGTTTTGAACCCCACTGATTTTCATTGTATGGACAAAAACTAAGAAAA